CTGGCAGCTTCTACTATGGGGGTATTTTCTGCGTTTGTGAAGAAATTGACTGGTGTTTTGGGTATATCTGAGTGCGTAATATTTTGTGATTGAGTGCTCATTTGATCGGTTGTTTTGTTAGATTGTAGTTTCTTTCATTTATGGTTGTGTTCGTTTGTTTTGTGACACTATTTGGTTGTGCTCGAACTGCTGCTGCATATGTGGTTTCAAACTGTGTTGTTGGTCTCGGTAGAAGTGGTAATTTTGGTACTGATTGTTGTATGTGGATTGATTCCGTGTGTTGCGTATTAATTTCCGTGATTTGGTTATTATTGTGTATGTTGTAGATTCGTGTTTTGATCTCCTTGTATTTCGAACATTTTTTGTAGTTAGCTGTGTGCTGTTATTTACAGTTGCAACAATATGGATTTTCGTATTCCTTTGGCCACATAAAGTAGAGACGTTCTCCGACATAGTCCACACATCGTGGAAGAGATGTATAGACAGCCACCAACCACGTGTTCATATCGTTAGCAATCGAAACGTTTCGTCACGACAACAGCAGGTGTTTTGGACTTTTCTTCGAGAAACCTCTGCCAGCAAAGAGTAATGCCGTTAGTTATTAGGCTTTGAATATCTTGTGTTTCGTGTGTGTGTGTGTACTTCAATCATGTTTGTCTGTTTTTGTGTCCTGCTAGTGATGACAATTCAACTTTCGTCTACTGAACACTGTTTTTTTGAAAGTTCTTCCTGGATTTGTTCGATGTCTATGCTGTAGTGAATTCCTTTGATTACGATTGCTTATGTGTTTGGTTTATTTCCAGCCAAATGTATCGATATATGTCCTAGATGAAAGGCGTCTTCGAGCTATTATTTGAGGAGACTCTTTTGATCAGCCACCTCTGTCCCTTTGACTTGGGGCCCGGCATGGCCAGGTGGTTAGGGCGTTCGACTCGCAATCAGAGGGTCGCCGGTTCGAATCCCCGTCCTACCAACATTCTCGTTCTTTCAGCCGTGGAGGCATTATAATGTTACGGTCAATCCCACTATTCGTTGGTAAAAAAGTAGCCCAAGAGTTGGCGGTACCTTCCCTCTAGTCTTACACTGCTAAATAAGGGACGGCTAGCGCAGATAGCCCTCGTGTAGCTTTGCGCGAAATTCAAAAACAAAAACAAACAAACCTTTTGACTAGGACACCGCCCTTAGCTAGACGTTTGATAGCAGTGATTTTAGTGTTAGATTTATACGTATGATTTCTGCTGTCAACTGTGATTCTTTGTATGTGTCAGAAATGCCTTCTATTACATGATAATATATTGTTTGAGTGGTTGTGTATATTTTGTGTTTTTCATCTCTTGTAGCCGTGAGTTAGTATTTTGTTTGTTTGTACTTAGAGTGTTAGTTTGTAATCATGCACAAAACTACACAATCATTTGATGTTTTGCTTCTTTGTTTACTATTTGCATGTTTGTTTCAGCTTTGCTGTCAGTATTTGCATCGGTCATCACGATGTGCGTACTTTTATGTTCTTCACTACGTATTTTTCTTACTTGCGGTGTGTTATTTGTATTTGTAGGCTCTTTATTAATTTTTTCTTTTCTTTTTGATGTCTACGAATTCATTCTTAGCTACTACAACTAATGCATTTAATTGTAAACTTATTTTTAGTTTTGTATTAGGGCCACCTAGACTAGACTTACATGAAGTTTTCTTTAAAGAAGAGGCCATTTCTAACAACCCAGCTTCGATGTTACGTTGCCTACTGGCTAAAATGATGTTACGTTGCGTCTTGGTTGACGACAGGCACAACTATAGAGCACTGATGTCGGCTCTAGAACTCAGGTACGGAACCCAAAATCAGTCAGAAGTCTACA